GTTAGGGAATCTGAAGAAGATGAATACCCAAATTAAGCGTTGTTATAAGTAATAGTGATATATGCGTAGCAAGGCGTGAATGAATTATACACTTTTATGCGTTCTATCAATAATATTTCAAATCCTAGTGGACTTGGTAGAAAAACGCGACTGATGATTCCCAGAACGGTTGGAACAGTCTGCGCAAGTAAACGCCGTTTTTCGAAACCATTTTTCGTAAAAAAGAATTGTGATGGCTAACACGATTATACACTTGGAATGCCTTTCTTTTCCATTTTGTGGTATTATATTTTAAGCCAGATCAAGTACAGTGAAAATCTGTTCTTTGCCTCAAACCGACTGTAATGAAGAAACATGGATTCACATTATGCTGAAATATTTACGATTAACAATCAAACACGCATTTATTTGATTGGCAAATATATTCAAAAGACACGTTCGCTGCCAACTATCTTTCAACGAAAGAGCTGTGCGAAATCAGTAGAGACACATTGGGCATAATGGTGTCCTACCACCTTTGGATTATGTTTCAAGCAAATCGTATCCGACCACGTGATCAACTCGAGTTTCATATTTGTGGGCTGAGTTCACAAAAATCTAGCCCTAATTGGAACAGAAATTCGTCACCTGATTGGTCCACGAATTGACCAAATCTATTGGAGAGTGACTTCCCCGGTGGGGGACTTGCATCAATCCCATTTCACCCTGGAACGAACTGTACAAATCAGTTCCCACAGTGACTATGAATGGATCGCAATTAGCCGTTCGTGCAACTATCGGGGTTCTGGGCTCATTGGGAGTCATCCTGAACACGACTGTTGTAATCATTCTGATTCGAACAAAACTCACCTCGAAATTGACCAGTGCTTTGATGCGAAGTCAATGTGTGGTTGATGGTTACGCGTCCCTGATCGCCCTATTCTACCAGATTATCGGTCCCGAGATCAATACATCCTGGGTCGAAGTAGATCGTGTCATGTGTTATATCTGGTTCCAAGATGAATTGTTCTGGCTTGGTGCGGTGCTCAGTGTACACAACTTGGTCTGTATCTCGTTCGATCGTCTACTGGCTGTGATTCGTCCAATCTACTACCGATTGCATCATGTCGGTCTGATGATTGGTTGTTATGTGTACTTGGTTTCCATCAGTCTACTTCTGTTCATACCGAACTTTTTTCTACGTCACTTCTCCAACGGTTCGTGTGCATTTGCCGTACCGATTGAAGAATCTCCTTTGCACCGATTCCTAGATTTTCATGCTCTGTTGTGGTTCTCGACAGCCTATCTGTTACCGGTGATTTTTATTGTCACATGTCACGTGATCGTGATCCGATTTGTCAATCGAGCAAAACAGGCACACGGGGCTGGAGAGGAGGAGAGCAGAACGCGTAAAGGAATAGTGAAATTGATCAAAATCACTGCCGCACTGGCTGTCAGCGTATTGATTTTTCATGTCGGGGAAAGTGCCAGATATACGTTAGCTTCCTTTCATCTGATGGACTACGCACCGGGGTCCGCGGAACAACAAGTTGGTGTGTTGTTGATCGCGTTGTGCTGTTGTNGTTTGCTGTACCGATCACTGCATCTCCTTTGCATCGATTTCTCGACGTTCATTCTTTCCTCTGGCTCTTCTTATCCTACTTGCTCCCGATCGTTTTTATTGTCACATGTCACGTGATCGTGATCCGATTTGTCAATCGAGCAAACAAAATGAACACGAACTCGAACCACGAGGAGCAATCACACAAGGGAATTATGAAGTTGGTCAAAATTACCGCTGCTCTAGCTGTGAGCATATTGATTTTTCATGCGGCCGAAAGTGCCCGGTATGTGCTAGCCTCATTTCATCTGATGGACTACGCACCGGGGTCCGCGGAACAACAAGTTGGTGTGTTGTTGATCGCGTTGTGCTGTTGTGTCAATCCGTGTGTGACGCTGAACACGAAAATCTCCGTACGTCGATTTGTAAATGAGCGTATATTGAAGCGAATTTCTCAGTGGAAGTTGTCCACCGGTCAATGGACCATTAGTAATGCCATGGAACAATGAATGATGTATTCTATTTGCTTGACTCTCCTCGTTTCCGTTGATCAGCACCTGTGGGTAACACGTGAATATTTACCTCATTGTACAGTACCGGCTGTATACTCACTGACATATCTCTAGTTATTTTCATGTTCTTCAAAATGTGACAAACTCCACAATCACGCCTAATACATCACACATATTCACCATAGGCATCTGGATCTGGATCGCACATTTCTCGCCGCTCGCCACTCGTCCCCTATTTTCCCTGATTTTACCAGCAACTGTCTGACGAAATACATTTGTTAATAACGGACAGGTAGATTAATTTAATTAAAAAAAATATAAAACTGAGACAAAAAAATGACGATGAAATCTGTTCGTTTCAAGTTATCCTATTCCTGACAGTGACTCTCCGAGGACAAGAACAGATAGTATAACCGAATCAGTCCTTGCGAAAAAACATTTCTCTGGACTGGGATGTCTTTCATGAATAAGGGATTGGTCAGACGACTGGTGCACGAAAGTTGATGAGTCGGTTCGTATCCAGGCGTGAGATTTAAGGATCGTTCTGTATGCCATTCGTACTGTCTGGGGAATAAAAAAACGGGCCTGATTTACGGAGTCGGAAATGTACATCTTTAGCCACTGTAAACTGTGTGCTGTTTTTTTCAATTTAGTCCGTGTGTTGACACTCAGAAATTTTAGTCCTTTAGTCAACTAATTAAAATGATGAAATTCGTCGAGCATGGAGAGCAAGTGAAGGGTGAAGGGTGAACTAGGAAGCACAGCTGGACAGCTGTTTCGACCTGGTTGAGTCTCATTCGTGCAGTGCGCGAATCCATCACCAGGGACCTCACAGGCAGAACGTAAGCGTACTACCCTCTCGACCACCCCGGGCAGCTGATCAGACGGTTTTCCATGTTTCGTTAGCACAATATAGCGCAATCCACTGTTGCGGACTTGTTGTGGCGGGCGTCGCGACTCTGCGTCCAGCTCAGCACTAATCCAGTGTTTCCTAGCTTTTCAGTTTACGCTTTATGTGCCCTATATATGACGAATTCCCTCCTTGAAAGTGAATCGAATCCTCCATTACTCTCATGTAATTAAAATGAGTTATTCAATGAAGGATACCGAGTAATGGATGATCGTGGCTGATCGTGGCCATGCATGATTTCCAAACTTGTGTGAACTAACCGGTCATTTGGGATGGACACCGCAGTTATGCAGTGTGTTGGGGATCTAGTTTTTCGGTGCTCGTCGCAGAGTGGAAAAAGCAAAGTCCCTCGCTCAAAGCCACAAAACAAACAATAATATGAGTGGGAATGCCCACACTCGCGAGCACAATGCAAAAGCCCCTGTGACTCTGACTACTGTTGAACAATACCAGATACTACAAATTCGTCCGTGGCGTCGACGTTTTAGTGGGCACGGGGGGTGAGGTGGGATGAAATCTCCATAGTATTCGCATCACATGGTCTGGGCATTCCACTCACAAGTACTCCGCATTGTTTCACTAAGAATTGCTTGGTTATCGATTGCAGCCGTCCACATGAGCATTTGCGGTATGAAACTGTATGGTTTTGAAGCCCCCGGGAACAATTAGCCGATTGACACTGGTCGATATGCAGTTGTGTGTGTGTGTGATGGACAGGTCTAGGTAAGGTGATGGAAATGTGCGGTCACCGCGGAATGATGTAGGCACGGACACACACGCTCCGGGAAAATGTGTATACAAAGATTGATTTCGGTCAGGCGGACGACTTGTGATTCAAATCAATTTAACAATCCCCCACGCATTTTATCATTGTTTCACCGTCCCCGGTAAGAGAGATGAGTGACTCTAGGCCGGTATTCGATCTCACGATAATGGCAATGGGGTACACTGGTAATCGTCCCGCGTTTGTTTGATCGAACCGCGAACAGATTTTGTGTCACTTAATTCAGATATTACAGATATGATGTGGTCCCGTCCAGCTGATTTTAGTGGTCCATTAGTTTAGTGCAGTTCGTGAACAGGTTGGCGCAAAAGTAGCTAATTTGTACTTTTACACAAACCAACTATAGTTCACATGCACATTTCGTTTCGAGGTCAAATAAATAAAAATGTGTGATAATCATAGTAATATTGTTTCGGTCATAACCGTAGAACCATATTGTAGTAATCGTCCGAGTAAATAGTTTTATTCACAATAGAGGAGCCAACGGTGAATGTACAACGGAATTTTAAGCCGAGTCGAATGCTCTCACTGGAAAATCACTTGAGCGAAATGATACTATGATTCCTGTGTTTTGCGACTGCACCACAACTGTGAGGTACAAATAATCAAGTAAATTAAATCAACGAGTGCATTTCGCCAAACTTTGTCTATTGAGCACAACAATGTACTGTCAACTTTCAAGAAGTGGGTCCACGGTAATACCAAAACTGCCTGAGGGGTGAATACACAAAAAAGGGAACAAGGGTAAGTTGTGGTGCGGTTGGTAGTTCTGAGTCGCCATTTATTGATGACTTTCATCACTTGATCATCGCAGCCAGCATTTCCACAAAGCAGGCTAATCCCTTTTAAATATGAGAAAAATGTTTCCGGATGCACAACAGATTTCATTTTTTACTAAAAGATAACCAGAACATTTTCACGCCAGCTTTCATGCATGCACACTAAGTTCCATGCGCTCAAACCATTTGGTGAAACTGCTAGACCACGCCGTAGTGGGAAATTCTTCGAGCAGTTCAACAAAGGCATTCAGTGTAACTGTTGGTGACTCGTACGAGATTCCACGCATCATACGCTTGATATTTGGGAACACAAAATAGTCACTGAACCAGAGCTGGGCTGTAGGGTGGGTGACCAACCTCCTGTTTGTGTTCTCCAGCACCTATGTGCACATGCGTTTTCAAGGTGAAGCAAGGTCTTTTGTGCTCGAGGCCTTGAACGACCCCTGGAAAAAGCTACCAGCACTTTGGGTAAACATTGGGTGGTGTACTAGTCTTCGGTAACTGTGCTCCGCCGTACGAGCGATACACTAGCCACATGACCACTCAAATGCAATGCTTCTTGAAGGTGCATCATCACCAAAGGCAGCTTGAAAACAATCAACACTCTGCTACTGCTGCTTTGTAGTCGGGGGAAATCATCGCCCACATCCAGTCCGAGTACATAGCGACCCTCGTATAATTGGTGAGCTGTGCTCGGCTCTGTTGATATTTGGTTCTGTGTGTGAGTTGCAGTCACTGAACAATATTCACAATGTATAGGTTACAGTTCATGTTTCATTGCCCTGGTCCTTTGCACCGCGTACTCGTCGTGTACTGCGTATCCGGCAACTTTTTGCTCAACTTGGTTTCTATTTAAAGACTGATTACATTGGTGGAAACCATTATTAGACAGGAAGTGAATGAAAATAACTCATTTCCTAATGGCTAATCGAACTCAACACAAATTCGGGCTCGTTTCAGCAACTGGATTCGTATCAGGTTGGGCGAATTGGGGCGAACTGGTATTATTTCCATTTTATCACACCTTACGAAAAAAACAATTGAATCCTAATAAATCTATGTGAATACTAAACTAGTAGACCGCAGGGAGTATCCGCGCACTCACATCATTTTCAGTGGTGCAGACCTGAAGATTAGGTTGCATCATAAAAGGAGCCTTCGTAAAAAACAATTCAAATTTGCAGCACACCAAAATGTGACAGTGGGCGTATATGAAGAGGATTAAAACCTGTTATCTTTTCAAAGATGAAATTCGTCGTGTATATAGCAAATGAAGCGTGAATTTAAAAGCTAAGAAGCACAGATGGACAACTTTTTTGACCTGGTTGGGTCTCGTCAACGTTGGGCCAATCCATCGACCCAACTGGGGATTGAACCCGGGACCTCACGGGAGGGACACAAGCATGCTACCCACTCGGTTACCGAGCACCTGATAGATCATTTCTAATTTTCCATTTACACGATATAGCGCAACCCATCTATGCGAGTTTGTTGCGAGTATCGGTCCTTGCTTATCTCAGCACCAGCCTTACAGGGGTTATAGCTCGTTTGGAAACAATCACAACCCGACTACTTGTTTCAAGTAATTAAACGAGGATTTGGTTCGATTTAAAAGGTCCTGGGTTCAATCCCCAGTTGGGTCGATGGATTCTCGCACTGCTGATGAGACCCAACCAGATCGAAACAGCTGTCCGGTGCTTTCTAGCTTTCCAGTTCACGCTGTATTTGCTTTATACACAACGAATTCACCTTTGAAACCATGAGACAGTGATAACTTACGAACAATGTCTTCCGAGCCTGAGTGACAGAATGATGCATGTTTTGGAAAGATCGAGTTTTCCTTATCTTCCCAGTGCTGTCCGGGAATGTTACCTATTTGTGTAGTCAGTTTTGTATTCGGATGGGCGAGGCTTTGGGGGATAGATATTTGAGAAGCGATACAAATCTGTTTTGTATTCATTTTTGATTTGTACACATTTTCGATTTTCAAAGATGGAACAAATCTGGACTCACCCCTCTCCATGTGTATCTGATACACCCTCCCCAACTGTCGAATTTCGTATGACCTCAAGGCACGATCACTTTGACCTGGATACTTGCACATATTGTGGGTTTCCTTCGGTTTCTTGGTCCCCATTGACTGATTTATCGAATTTGCTGGTCAACCACAGATTCAACTTGGGCCTTTTGATTCTATAACTTGGACGTCATGTGATTATTACTTTACAGCTGTACGACATGCGTATTGGTAGAAAACAATGCAGGTTCAAAAGACGCCATACTCTTTTGGGTGCAGTTAGACTCAACATTGCAGATTTTTTTGTGTGGGGCCTCCGGTACACTCAACGAGTAGTCAAATTCAAATAAAAAACGGGCCATTTGTGCATTGACAGAATTGTCGCAGTATTTGTCCAATGAAGCGATAACATCTTCCAACGATTTGTCCTGCAAATCCATCGCGTCAAAGAATAGCCTACCTTCAACACCCAAATATATTTGTAGTAATTTAACGCATAGTTCATTG